AGAGAGAGAGAGAGAGAGAGAGAGAGAGAGAGAGAGAGAGAGAGAGAGAGAGAGAGAGAGAGAGAGAGAGAGAGAGAGAGAGAGAGAGAGAGAGAGAGAGAGAGAGAGAGAGGGAGAGAATCACGAATGAATCTAACGAGAAACAATATTATTACAACAAAAGGACATTTTTTCTCTTAAGAAAATGCGATGACACACACATATCACAAACTGCAATTCAACTGCTAAGAATACAAACGCGCAACTGCAATGCTCATAAGTGGCAATGGCGTGACTCGCAACTCTGCTGTCGATTTCGAAAGTGGCGCTATAGCGGCAGAAGATGCAACAATTACAATAGAAAATGTGCGGGAAATTTGTTTCGGAAACGATATCGAAGCAATTATAATTTCTTTATAATCAAAGTATAAATACTTTTATGTATATAAGAAATATATGAATTATATTTTATAATAATTAACATATAATAATTAATTTAATTATTATATGCTATTTAAATATATTTTTCAGATATACTTATTATATATTGAAATACAATCTTAGTGCATATTAAGAAAAAGAAAAAATAGGACATAAAAATACATTTTACATTTAAATAATATAATATATATCTTAAATAAAAAAGGAATATACGTAATCTGTGCAAAATCCTTTGAACATTTTTAGAATTTATATATATTATAATGTAATATATTATAATATATTATATAATATATTATAATGTATATTTACATATATATTATACAGTATGAGAGAATTAAAAGAGACAACCAACCAATTAAAAGAGACAACCATTTACTGATGAGAAATCAAATTATTGATAATTTGATATTATCAAATTATTCGAATGTTTTAAATTGAATTTTTTAAAATTCGAATCAATCTTGTGGTTTGTTCCAATTCGATTTGAATTTGAACACCTCTGTCATAGTCGTTAACATTGAGAAATGAAAATAATTCATTTTGCTTACGATCTTAATTATACTAAACCAGAAGCAGGTTCTTACAACCGCGCCTTACAGCCTTATAACCTTATGTTATGGCTATTGTAGATTAGGCTTTAGGTTTCTCTCTGCCGCGATATTCCTCCCCCCCTCCCCGCCCTGCTCCTGTTGAGATTTCACTCCCTGCACCTAACAGAGTATACTTCATGCTCCATTGTATTATTCTTACATCCAGTGTATCATAAATATCTGACTTGTCAAAAGTCAGTACAAATTACATACAATTGTTTTTTTGCTTGCGTAGTGACAGCTGGTAATAGTTGAGTATGACAGACGCAAAAGGTTTAAAGGAAGCCATCAAGCAGTACAAAACCCAGGTATATTAATATTAAAAAAATTAAGATCTATTCTTTTTAGCAGAACTTCTTATATAATTCATTTTTCTCTTTTTTCTAATATGTTAATTCATATTGAATTCTATTACTATCATTTTTATTTAGTCTATTTATATTTACAGTTATCACAAGTAAACATAACACTGTCTACTATGCCCAAAGGTCTTGACAGAGACAATTTGCTTAATTTGAAATCTGATATCGAAGAACTAATTTTCTTGACGAAAGAAAGTTTGCAAAATCTTGAAAGAAATGTAGAATATAATATTGAGGACAGTGATGATCCTGATGATTTTTTGGATAAAGAATGTGTCTTGTTAAAGGTCTGTATCAAGATTAAAAGTCAACAAGATTAAAAGTCTGTTTCGTGCTTATCATCTGTACCAGATTAATGCACAGAATTATTATATATAAAATTATTGAAATATTAAATGCACAGATATTTCAACCAATTATAAATACTGATTAATATTTTTGTCACGTTATTTGATTATGCATTAATGATTTTACTATCAAAGAAATTGTATTAATTTATTATATTTTTATATGTAACAACTTTTAAAGTATATTGATCCAATGTAATGTAAGTGATGGAATAATTTGTTAATAGAAATTATTGTTAGCTATGGTCAAAAAATTACCTTATTTTGTTGCTTTCTTATTAATAAAAAATAAATTATCTTCAAAAATAAGATATAAATAAATTGACTTAAGTAGAATAATGTTGTAAAGCATTATCTTATCACATATAGATTTTGTTAAATTTTTATAAAATTCTTAAATACATTTATTGTCTATACATTTGATATATAAGATTACAAAGTGAAGACAGTTTTAACATACTCTTTATTTAAATTATAGACAAAACAGAAAAAGTCTTCAGATGATGAAGATAAACAAGACAATATAACTGTTTCTGCTTCTGATAGCATCAAAGTCAGTATACAACTTTTATCATAGCAATGATTTAATTATACAGGGTATCCCATTTTAAAAGACCTATTGAAATATGTTTTTTGTCGAAAATCGTTTTAGAAAAAAACATTTTAAACAAAAGTTGTCAAAAGGATTCAGAGGAGCAAATTATTCATTTTTTAACAACTATATCTTAATACTTTTATGCACAGATTAATGAGATGAATCAATTAGTGTAAAGAAAGTACAGTTGATTTAAAAAAAAATACATTGTTGCATATAGCAAATTTCCATTTGCATTTTTTTTTAAACAGCAACTATATATTTTCTTTACACTAATTGATTCATCTAATTAATTTGTGCATAAAAGTATTAAGATATAGTTGCCAAAAATGAATAGTTTATGAGATATTTTATACTTTATATTCAAATTGCATTATGTCAAATTTAAGCCATATAACTTAGAAAGTACTTACTAAAAAAATATTTTATTATAGTGTCTTGCAGAACTCTTAAGGTCAGCTATAAGAATATGTAATAAAAAATGAATATTTCCATTTAAAAGACATCGAAATGATCTTTAAAAGATCTCGATAAAGGCAAGGCATCATCAAATGTTACTCTTATGAACCCTACAATTTTTTTTTAAATGTTTTTCTTTAAAATGCTTTTCTAAAAAAATATTTCAATGGGTCTTTTAAACTAGGACATCCTATATGATTACACAGTTCAACAAAAAATGATTTTTTTTTCAAATATCGAAACGAGACTAGTCATTTTTCATAGTTCTTTGAATGCTGAAGCCGAAATCAGGTTTTATGAACTGCATTTAACAATGCATAATGATGATATGGATAATGTCTGTAAACATATTAACTTTTTTGAAAATAGTAATCGTGGAAGTCTTAAAAGGATTATTGGGAGCTATTTGGTAAATCGTCAATGATTTATTTTACAACCGCAATGAACCTCATGTTTAATAATAAATAACTTGTTAACCATAATGGACACAAAAAATTTTTTTTGAAAGTCCTATAACATACTTCATTTTGATTGTAAGAATACTTCTTCAGCATGTCGCATTACATACTTATAATATGACAAAATTCATGAAAATAGCACTTATTTGCAACTTTAACTGCAAATTTCTCAAAATTGTGATGTGATAGAGCAATTTTACAATCAGATTCGGATTTAATGTTCAAAAACCTATGGGAAATGACTAGTCAGAGTTTTGATGCTTTTTTTTTGTGAACTGTGTTATCAATTATATGTTAATCTTTTAGGATGAATTAAAGGAGTTAGAAGGTATGAAATGTAAAGCTCCTTATGATAATGTTTGGGGTATTGGTTATCACAATGCTATGATATGTTCTATTTATAGAAAAAAGATGAAATTACTAAAGATATCCATGATATTAAGGTAATTTAATATCACAAAAAAATTGTCATATTTTTTTTATCTTAAAATTTGAATATCAATTTCAGGTTCGAGTTTTTTATCTTAATCCAACACATAAAGAAATGATCCCATGTTCGTATTTTCTTGATGGTAATTGCAAGTTTTCCGATGAAATCTGCCATTATTCTCATGGTGAAATTGTGCCATTTTTAAGCTTACAGGAGTACAAGTATTTTTCTTTTAATTATATATATATATATACGTGTGTGTGTGTGTGTGTGTGTGTGTGTGTGTGTGTGTGTGTGTGTGTGTGTGTGTGTGTGTGTGTG